AGGTATGCCACCTTGTGCCCAGTTACCATGCTTCACAACTGCATGCTTGGTTACCATTGCAAAATGTAAGCCTTTCTTTTCTCCGCCTGTGTTCCAGTGTTTCTTGATGCGAGTGTGCTGGCATTTTAGGCAAGGCAGTGCTATGTATGACACTTTCTCAAGAACTGCAGTCCTACACCTCTGGCCCCTGCCCACGAAATGCCAGTCCTTTACACGTTTCCTGTTAGCTGCGCCACTGCTGATTCTCTCCTGTACAGGGGATGCCTCCTTAACAAACATGATTGGATCTAATAATTGGTTAATTGATAAAGTTGCCTCATGTAAGGGAATTATAAAGAAAGATACATACATAACATTTTATTTAACTTAAAACAACTAAAGGTACATTCTTCACTGAATTTTTAAAAAAATGTTTAAATCCAAAGTCTTTTCTTTGATTTGTATCTAGTTGGTGTTTCTGTCATTTTTCCTTTGACCTTCATAATACATCTTGTGTATTTTCCAGCCTTTTTAAAGTGTAGGAAGAACAACATAAAGACCTGTCTGAAGCATTCTAAGTGCAGAATCCTAGATTTGAACATTTGTCCCCCAATCTTTTATAGTCATCTCACCCACACTTAATTTTATAACTTTTTTTAGCAACTCACCGTATTGAATTTTTCCAAAGCATTTAAAATAATTTTTAGAAATCACACATCCTTTGTGCTCTTACGTTTATTGGCTTATGTGACATTAACTAATTGTCTAATTACACTAACAAGTACAACTGACATAGATTTGGGCTCACGTACCAGCTGTGGCTTTTAGTCAATACCTTGAAGAGGGATTGGATTGGTATGTGTGTCACTAGCTAGTGGTTTAATACAGCTGGTTCAGGAACTTCTGTCCTTTACATCTGATACTGCTTTGTGTCCTCACCCTGACTTGACCGCCGACTGTTTTTTCCCTCCTATCCCCATCCTCAGTTCCTTCTGGCTCACATCTCTTCCTGCTTTCTCAGGTACTTTGTTCCATTAGCTAGCCTTTCGCTGTATCTTTAACCTCTGTTTTGACCTCCTGCACACCGTGCCATTCTGCCCTTGGTGGTCAAAGTGATCTTTTTAAGGTATCAGTCTGATCATGTCACTTCTTTGCTAAAGACTCTTGTTTTCATTGAGGTAACTCCAAATTCCATAACAAGGCCAATAAGGATCTTCATGATATAGGATCTGGCCCTGTTCACGTTCATCTCTTAGTTTTCACCCCTTCAGTTGAAGTTCTAGCCACACTGATCTTTGAGTTTTTCAAAATACAGTGAATTTTCTCATTTGTGAACCTTTGCCTTTGCTGTTTCTATACATGGAACAGTCTTTTTGCTCCCCCGACCCCCTTTCTCTCACGTCCCATCCTACACATGCCTTAGCTGATTCTTCTCGTTTACTCTCGCCCCTCTGGTGCATTGACAGAGCATGTGTCACAGTGCATCACGATGGCCCCTTCCCTGGTGTCCCTCTGAACAGTACTCTCCCTGAGGGTGGAGGCTGTGTTGTCTTCGTAGTTCTGTTCTCACTGCTTCCCTGAAATAGGGTGAGGGTCTGTAAGTATCCTGAGAGAGTGAATGATGAACAAATGAATTAATACAAGAGAACAAGAAAAAGAAAAGAGACTAGAAGATACCCCTTCTAATTGAATGAAGACTAGGGTAATGGAATTAGAATGAAGGGTCTTTTTCTTAGTGTAAAACCTTTTTCTTTTTTACAATGTGTGATTCCTTTCATGTAAATAGAAAACCCGGGTAAAATTATACTATCATGTTTAGGGTTGTAGGCTTAGGTGGCAAAGTGGGTACTGCCCAGGGTAAAGGTGGAGGTCATTACAAAGGCATAAGGGTGAGTTTCTGGGGTGGTGACAGTGTTCTATCTTCATTTCAGATCTTAGTGGAATCTTAATACCCTTTCTCCTACTGTCCTCTGAAGATAGCATAAAGCTTCTTTAGTCTTTCTTGTCCTAGTTTCTCCCCTGACCCCTAATTTTATATACATTATTATTCTATCAAACCTAGTTTTTAGCTTAATAGGATATTTTATAAAATACAACATACATTTCTTTAGTAGTGTTGCATTTAGAAAAAAAATGAAAGAGTGAGGGAATTGACTTTTTTACAAATACGAATTTTTAGCTTTTGTTTTTTCCCCACATTTTACTCCTTTAAGCTTCTAATTCATTGTTTGATTTGACATAAATGGCCCACTACCAAATTTTTCCTTTTTTAAAAAAATTCTTTATTGTTGAAAATATTACATATGTTTCCTTTTTCCCCCATTGACCTCTACAAAATTGTTCTTGAAAGATTATGCAGGAATATTTTGGAGAGAATTTCAAAGTATTTAATAGATGAGAAAAGGTAAGGGAAATTGTTGGAAGTTTTTGAAAGAAAAATATTGACATTAAAGTGAGAACTAAGATGAGAGACTTAGCAAGAGCAGGGTAAGCGTTAAAATAAAGACTAGAAAACTGTCTTTCTGCCTTTTACTCAGGTATTTCATCTTCACATCCTTCTGGGCATATAAGATCTACTATGTCTATGGCTTCATGATGCTGGTGCTGGTCATCCTGTGCATCGTGACTGTCTGTGTGACCATTGTGTGCACATACTTCCTGCTGAATGCGGAGGACTATAGGTGGTGAGTACTTACTTTTGGGAAGAACCTTTGGGGACCATAATGTTTTAAAATAAGATTTCATTTGAAGTATGTTGAGTGAAGTAAAAGATCTGAATAAAAATCTTGCTACTTAAGATAGTATAGGGAATTTTCCAGTTATAAAAATGATATAGATAAAGATGATGAAGATTTTCTGTTATAGTGTCAGTCATTTCTTTTTGTATTAATGAGGGTCACTTTGTTAGAAATATTTTTACAAAATGCTTGATGTGGAAGAAGCTTTATGAGAAGCTTCATATATTTAAATGTGAAGTACATCATTTGTTTTTAAATATACAGAATTTTAAAGGATTTTAAAAATGAAATGATTTGCTTTTTAAAATCCTCATTTCAGTGCCATTCATTCTAAAGAGCTATGTTTTCCCCTCTAGGCAATGGACAAGTTTTCTCTCTGCTGCATCAACTGCAATCTATGTTTACATGTATTCCTTTTACTACTATTTTTTCAAAACAAAGTAAGTTGAGACATTTTCTCATTTGTATTTAGGAAACAGAACTAGTCATTTAAATACTAGCATTTAAGGCCTTACGTTGAGAATGAAAATGGATGTACTATATATTTATTTTGTCTTATTTCAGGATGTATGGCTTATTTCAAACATCATTTTACTTTGGATATATGGCGGTATTTAGCACAGCCTTGGGGATAATGTGTGGTAAGTTCGAAAATCTTGGAATATAATGAGTAAATCTTTGAGTGTTTCAGAATCAGAAAAATATAGTAATGGGAAATTAAGAAATTACATTTTGTTTGATCAGGAACATCAAAATAAGAGTCTGGTTGACTTCTTTTTTTTTTTTTTTAAGTTCTGCCTTTAGTAATAGAATAAGGCAGATGTAATCATCTTGTTAAAAGCTAGGTTCTAGTATGACATTTGTGGACCCCTTTGGGTACTAGGATTGCTTTTTTCCTTTACCAGAAGAATCTTTTCTCCATATTGGTGGGTGTTAGAGGTGGATGTTGGAGGTACAAACTTCCAGAGTCCTGGGGGTGTAATGTACAGCATGGTGACTATGATTAATAATACTGTATTATATATTTGAAAGTTGCAGACATTAGATCCTAAAAGTTCTCAGAAAAATAATTTGTAACCATATTGTGGTGGATGTTAAATAGAATTATTGTGATAATCATTTCACAGTATATACATATAACAGATCACTGTTGCACAACTGAAACTAATATAATGTTTTGTATCAATTAAAAAAAGAATATGTTCATTCACATATACCATGTATATCATCATGTGTGCACAAACACTGTACGAATGACATCTATTGTCAAGTAGTAAAACTCATTTCCACAGACAATAAGGGAAGACATTTCTCTATATTATAATCACATGTTTATTTAGCTGTTGTGATAACCTTTCTTTGTGATAATTTATTAGTTAACCAACTTTGGGGGGAAGATGAATAGGAACTGAAGGTTAAAACTAGATTTGGGAACACTCTGATGTATTTTTAGGCAGTCAGAAGGTTCCTTTAGTGCTGTTGGTCACCCTTTCTTCAGAATATTGCTCATAGAATTCCTCTTTATTTCATCTGAGGTCTTTCTTGATTACCGCCACCATTCAGTAAGGTATAGAATAATGGGATTATGCAGAAAATGTCATTTTTTTTTCTTGACTTGATGTATGATCTTTGACTTAGAGAGATAATATCTTGACATTTACAAATAAAATGGAATGAATTTAGGTAAAATTTTTCAGTACTTTTCCTGTTGAAATTTCATTTTGCTGCTTGAAAATCTTGGCACATTTACAGTTGCCTCCTGTGCTGGCAGTGTCCCAATATTTATTCTTTGGTGGGTGTATATGCCTTCAGTTTTGGGGGCAGAGGGGAAACAAGTCAGGCTGAAACTTACTCAGATGTCATCATGATACAGAATTATATTCATCAGGTTATGTATCAGCAATTGAAAGAAAAATATTGTTGATTTTTTTAATGTAGGAAAAGGAAGCAAGTATGTTAAGGCGGGAAATAGATTGTTATAATCTATATTTTGAGCATAGAATAGCATTTTAGTTTTAAAGAAATTAAGTTTAAAAGTGTATCTCTAGCCCGGTTGGTGTGGCTCAGTGGTTGAGCATTGACCTATGAACTGGAGGTCACAGTTCAATTCCCGATCAGGGTTCATGCCTGGGTTTCGGGCTCAATCCCAGGTGAGGGGTGTGTAGGATGCAGCCAATCAGTGATTCTCATCATTGATGTCTCTAGCTCTCTCTCCCTTTCCCTTCTTCTCTGAAATCAATAAAAATATATTTTATACAATAAAATTAAAGTATATCTCTATATTATTCCCAAGACATTTACTTTTCTAGAGAGCATATTCACTATCCTCTTCTTTTAAAGTCATCTGTATCATAAAAGGCTTGTGGTCGTGACGCCATAAGGCCGGAACAACCAAACAACTGGTCGCCAGGAGGTGCATGGAGCACCTCTCAGGCCGGGACTGGCGCAGGGTGGGTCTGGGTCTTGTGTGATTTCGAGCGCTGGGCCTCTAGTATTTTTATAAGCTTATTCTTGAGGTACTTCCGTAAGATTAGGAAAATGATTCTCTAGTTTGGTACTGTTTTGTTTTGAAGCATATCTCCACTCAAAGGGAAAAAGTGTTTTATAAGTCTGGAAAATTAGATTTGATTATTGAACTAGTGTTATTCGAGTTAATTTTTTTTTTTTTATTGATTTTAGAGAGGAAGGGAGAGAGAGAAAGAGAGATAGAAACATCAATGATGAGAGAGAATTACTGATTGGCTGCCTCCTGCACGGCCCCTACTGTGAGGGATTGAGCCCACAACTCGGGCATGTGCCCTTGGCTGGAATCGAAACTGGGACCCTTTAGTCCGCAGGCCAACGCTCTACCCACTGAGGAAAACTGGCTAGGGTTATTATGCAAGTTAAATTTTTGATTCTAGTTAAAATTTTACAAAACCGAAAATTTTTTTCTTACTTGTAAGGACTTGTATTATATAACTATTTCAAAATGAATTATCAGTATTTTAAAGTGTAATGTAATTAATTCATATTAAAAATGTCTGTTCATTGAAAAATAATTAGAAATAAGTTTGCTTTGTTTTGTTGAAGTTTTTTTGAATTTTTAATATTTAATTGTGGGACATTTTCAAATATACACAAAAATAGGGGCCATTTATTTATCTGTAATGAGTCCCCATATACCTAACACACCTAACATCAATAATTATAATCTCATGGCCCATTTTGTCTTTTCATTTAACAAATTGTTACTTAATTCTAAAAATATATCAGGTCAAACTTGGTGTATGGAAGTAACAGGTGATTTGCAAAACAAATGATACAATTTTAATAAGTTCAGAGAGAATACTAATATAAAGACATTATCTTGATAAAAAAGAACTCTCCAGAGCAGAGGGCATTTAGTGTTTCTAAATAATGGATATTGCTCTGTATGAATTTGTTTCAAAACCTTATTTTATCTTTACAGGAGCAATTGGTTACATGGGAACAAGTGCCTTTGTCCGAAAAATCTATACTAATGTGAAAATTGACTAGAGACCCAAGAAAACCTGGAACTTTGGATCAATTTCTCTTTCACAAGTGTGGAACTTGCACAGCAAAAAAAGCGCAAGAAGAGATTTGGGCGTTAACACTGGGTACTTTGTGGGTCTATCTTTCAAGGATCGCGTAAAGTAACATCTATTTCCATTGATCCTAGGTTCTTACTGACTGCTTTCTCCAACTGTTCACAGCAGATGCTTGGATTTTATGCAGTAGGCATTACTACAGTACATGGCTAATCTTCCCAAAAACTAGCTCATTAAAGATGAAATAGACCAGCTCTCTTCAGTGAAGAGGACAAATAGTTTATTTAAAAGCATTTGTTCCAATAAAATGACTAGAGGGAAACTTGGATGCTAAAATTACATGAATAGAAATCTTCCTAGCACTTAGTGTTTCCATGTTATTGAAAAATGATGTTCCAGAAATATTATTATTTTCTCTTATTTTTACTGCTATCACCAACCTATTGTGGGACATTTTTATATATTGAACCTGGGTTCTTTTTTGAGCATTTTTCTCCCCCAATTCAACTGCATCTTTTTTCTAAAAGAAAGAATTAAAAATATTAAATCCTGCATGTAATATATCTGCTGTCATCTTAGTTGGACCAGCTTCCTATGTATTTATCTCAAAACCATCCAGTTACATCTTAATTCCATCCAAAGAAGATACAGTCTGAAGATAGAGGTGTACTCTCTACAATGCAATTTACTGTACAGTTAGAAAGCAAAGTGTTAAATGGAGAACATATTTGTTTTATTAAACATTTTGAGATTTAGATAAACTACATTTTAACTAAATGTCCTAAGTGATTATCTTTTCTCCCCCCTCTCACCCCCCAAGTTAGTCTTACATCTTTTTTGGGTTTGAATGAAGGTTTTGCATAAGAAATTATTAAAAACAAGGGGGGTGGGTAATAAATGTATATAACATTAAATAATGTAATGTAGGTGTAGATTCCCAAATGCATTTGGTTGTACAGATTGATTACGGAGTACTTTTTTCTGATGCTGATTGGTGTAGAAATGTGTGAATTTGGGTAGCTTTTTACATCTTGCCTACCATTGCATGAAACATTGGGGTTTCTTCAAAATGTGTGTGTGTGTCTTCTTTTGGGAAGGGGGGGATTGTTTTCTTCTGTTTCTTTTCTGAGACTCCTACACGAACTAAATTTGTAATTTAGAAACCTTTAATTTTGTTAATCTTGTCTGGGGCACTTAAGTAACATCTAAAGCATTACTGCTTTAGAATGTTAAAATAAAATTTCCTGACCAAATTGTTTTGTGAAATTAGATGTGTTTGCAATTTGAAGCTATCTTTTTAAAAGGCAATATTATTGAATGCAGTTTTTAAATAAACTGTAAATTATGCTTTTTTTAATACAGGGAACTCACACTTTAAAATCCCCAAACCTGCTTACATCTAGATTATCCAGTACAGTCAGAAGTGAATGATAAGCCCTTTGAATGAAATTGTGGCACAAAGTCTGTTCAGGTTGGTGTACCCTGTAAAGGGGTTGGGGGGTAAAAGTGGTTAGGTTACTATTGGATGAGCAAATAAAGATTACAGTTTTCTAAGAGAAGTGATTTTAATTTTGAATACATCTTTCTGGAACTATCCATAATGTGAAGTTTTCCTAGAACCATTGAGTTTCTAGTTTAATAGTTTGCTATGCAAATGACCACCTAAAATAATTCTGTATATTGGTATTTTTAGAAGAGTCAGAACAGCTATATTTAAACCTTATTGTGAAACTCATGCCATTCATAGTTATGTAAGATGTTTTCATTACAAAATATGTTTATCAATTAGTAAACTCTGCATCCTATCATGTGGTATGTAACGACTATAAAGGGTAAAAAATCTGATAAATTACCACTCAAGTGTGGCTGACAGAAATTTGATCAGAAGTTATAGGTAAATCCTCTTCATGCCAAAATGGTATATTAAATGTAATACACTGGTTCTTCCATTTTCTCTTCCTTTTTACTTACCTTTAGGATCTTATAAGAAAAATGAAAATTCAGTATATAGTGGCTTATATTTCTAACTAACAGTATATAGTCTGATGGAGTGCAAATTGGACAGCAAGCTTTTGTTATAATAAAATGAAATTTATTTTTTCATGAGTTGCAGGTAAGATGTAGGGTTTTTAAAGAGTGAGTGGGTTAGCTGCTTTCAGGTACACCAGTTCTTTCTATTAAATTGAGCTCTGTTTGAAATCTTTTGGAATCTTCCGTGGAAAACATTTTTCTAATTTTCATGTATATTAAGAGGTCCATTAAAATGAATATAAATCACCTTGAAAAGTCCTTTAGAAATTGTGTACTGATTTATGACTTCATAGAGGGGCTGGATGTGGTGTGTCTTGAAGAAGATGTAATTCACAAATGGTTTAGCTCCCTAGCTCTCAGCTGTAGACTAGTAAAATAAAATAATATTTAAATAATTAAAGGATGGGGTTTTCCCACTTCATTAATGCTACATATCTGTCTCATTTGTTAATGTTATTTGCTCAACTCCCCAACTTATGCTTTGAACACAACCAAAAACTAAAGATTAACTTTCCCCTTGTATCTGTAAGCATATTTCTCCTAAAATTTAGATACATTAGTAATTGACACACACACACATATATATTTATATATCCTTGTACAAGAGTAGGATAAAGGTGGAAATGAAAAGGCTGGAGGGATAGTGAAGCATTCTTTAGTAGGTCATGTTTGGGCTCCTAGATTGTACTGGGTTTGCCTATAAATCAAGCCCCATACTCTTATAACTCATTATTCTGTGGAGATAGCTGAATGGGAATGGTGAATTTACCTAGTGAATGGTATGCTTGGGTGTTTTCCATTGAGAGTGGATGGACCTCTTTATAAAGATGGTTGCTGCAAATTCCAGTTCTTCCAAAAGCCACTTTATTTAGGGTTTATCCACAAATTGTATTCATTTTGGTAAACTTTTGTTTCTTGAATATGTACTATCCACATTATGCCAAATGTCTTGCAAATAAATGTTATTTTAAAATTTCCTGAATTTTTACAAATGTAAAAAAGAAAAAATGTATTAATGTAATTTGTTCAGGAAAAGCTACATACCGAAGGGCTTCTATTTATGAAGTCTGGGAAAGAAAAGCCTGTTTGTAATCTATACACTGTAGTTCCATCTGGGTTTTAAGTTTAGATTTTAGAGTGTCTTAGTGCTTTATTCTCTTGAGTTATTGGAACACATAATAAATAGGAGTAGTTATGTATGAAAACACAGGTATTTATTAATGTTTTATATCTTCATAAAAATTTTAATTATGAAGCTATATTTTAGCAATCAAGATGTTAAATAGATAAGTGACAATTTTAAAAGATCGGAAGTGTATGCAGAAAGACTAGACTAGATTTAGAAGTACAGTAGATCAGAAAGTAAGCATACAGCTGCAGAAATTTTATATGATTTAAATTCAGTATGAGGAATGATTAGTTCCTCCTGTGAGTATTTTCTAAAAGCTATCTGATTTGACATTCTTATTGGAGCTGTAGACAGAAGAGTGCAAAGACAAAAGTAAAAAATTAAGTTGTTTCACTGTGCTAGGAAATGGCAATGAACTGTTGTGAAAGCCACTGATATTGAAGTATTGGTGAACTAAGATTGCTAATACTTGACTGATAAAGCAGCATTCTGTGTGTTTAGCCCAATTCATCAGTTTAGGTCATTTGAAAGTTTTAAATGTTATAAGTAAGAGCTTAAGGCAAGGAAGCAATGACACGGAATTCTATTTGAAAGCCAACAGAGCGTGCTTGGAAAAGCAGTCCCACTCGGGCTTTTCAGCTCTTTCAAATCTGAATCTATAAATCCCCACAGAGCAAACAGTTATTGCTTGGTGATTACTTCCATTTTGTACACACCCTTGGTTTGTGTAGGCCATATCCCAACTGGCTTTTTAGTAATAGAAATCCAGTATATAATGTATCAAATACATTTGAGGTTCTAATCTAGTCTGTTGAACTGAAGTTGGATTTTTAAAAGTAATAAAAAGTTAAATGTACTTCCCTTGGAGCCTTTATTTCTTTCCTTTTTGAAACAGGTGAACCAAGAATAAGGGATGACCCATTATTAATGGCACACATATGAAGAGATTACTGATAGCTTCCTGCAATTATATAAAGCAGGGTTCAGCAAACTTTTTCTGTAAAGGGCCAAATAGGAACTATTTGAGGCTTTGAGAACCACAATGCGGTCTCTGCTGTGACTGACTGTTGTACCCTCAGTAGACAGTACATAAACTGATGAGGATGGATGTGTTCCAATATAATGACAGAAACAGCCAGGGGACCATCATTTGCTGACACCTGACATGAAGGATTTAAGATTTTATTCCGCCCAACTTTTGTATTTTGGAAGAAAAAAAAAGTACAGAAAGTTGAAAGAATGTTACAATGAATGAGAGTTGTCTTTTTAAAAAATGATTTTTATTTTATGATCATGTTTTGACATTTTTTCCATACAAGCTCTGACTCCTACACAGAAACCCCACACTCCCCCATGCCTGTCATTCTCCTGTTTGATAATATATTGCATTTGTCTGGAACTTCTTTTTACAAAGGAGTTTCAGATAATGATTCCTTACAACCATCCTGTGGAGCTGATGGGGTAGACACCTACATTTTATGGAAGCCGTGAAAGGGTCTCTTATTTTTAGCCCCGAAGTTATCAGGATTAGGGTCCTATTGCTGTAACCATAGAATGGATGTCACCCCTCCAGCTTGTGGAACAGATAATGTGTAGAATTCACACTGAAAATGAGTGTTCTATATTGATGGAAGGGATTCTCTTTATTGTACTACATCAAAATCAGTGGTTAATTTCTCCTGATGTGTTTGTACTTTTATTCTAAAAATTATTTTTTAAAATACATTTTTACTGATTTCAGAGAGGAAGAAAGAGCAAGAGATAGAAACACCAATAATGTGAGAGAACTATTGATTGGCTGCCTCCTGCACACCCCTACTGGGGATGCAACCCAGGCATGTGCCCTGACTGAGAACCGAACCAGTGACCTCCTGGTTCATAGTTTGACGCTCAACCACTGAGCCATGCCGGCTGGGCTATACTTTTTTTTCATCTCCAGTCTTAACTAGTTATTTAAATTGTTGTCTACTCTGGTTTTTTTCTCCCGCTGATTTTATTAGCTACCTCAGTCAAAACCTGTACTTGATAATTCCTAGTGCCAAATAGTTTAAGTTGGTACAAATTTGGATTACTTTTGATCTCTTTAGTGAACAGTTTTCATCTGGTTGGAAAACAAGGGGAATAAGGGATCTGTTATTCAGCCAGCTTCTAGATTTCAACGTGATAACTTTTATTAAATGCTTAATTTACAGTTTAACATTAGAAAAGGCGGGGGCGGGGGGAGAATAAGCCTTTGGATATGTGGAGTCCATCAATGGTAATGTAGTCTACACATGTATTTGTAATTATTTAAAATTTAAAAAAATGGAGGAGGTGGTTATAGGGAGAAGTTGATGTAACTTACTTTACCTGGCCAATGTTATGGTTATTCTTAGTGGTTCAATCTAAGCCACTAAGATTATGGGATTTAACCTTGAAGATCATTAAAGGGAATGAAGGGTCTAGAGCAGAGGTTCTCAACCTTCCTAATGCCGGACCCTTTAATACCGTTCCTTATGTTGTGGTGACCCCCAACCATAAAATTATTTTCGTTGCTACTTCATAACTGTAATTTTGCTACTGTTATGAATCGTAATGTAAATATCTGATATGCAGGATGTATTTTCATTGTTACAAATTGAACATAATTAAAGCATAGTGATTAATCACAAAAACTATGTAATTATATATGTGTTTTCCGATGGTCTTAGGCGACCCCTGTGAAAGGGTGGTTCGACCCCCAAAGGGGTCGAGACCCACAGGTTGAGAACTGCTGGTCTAGAGAGTGATACAATGGAAGTTGGTTCCCAGTTGGAGTTGTCAGACAGGTCTGCTGCAGGTTATATGCCAGTAGGGTTGGACAGACATAAATAGGTAAATGCTGTAAGTGTGGTAGCTGCTTTAATAGGTGTTGGCATGATGATGCAAGCTGTGTGGTCATCAAGTTGTCCCCAGCAGAGAGATGCAAAGCAGCAAGGCCTTATTAAGATCACTGCAAGGTGTTTAATGCAATAAGGTGGCAAGAGCCAAGGCTGGAGTAGGGAAAGGAAGGCCTGATGTTTAATGGAGGGCCTGGTGTGCCACCCTGAGGAGCTCAGATAAAGGCTTTACACAGCTGCTAAACACTTAACTATGAAATATTTTTCATTACCGCCTCCGAAGAACTCAAAAGTACCTTCTCAGTGGTCCAGTAATGTGAGCTAAGGAATGAGACAGCAGATGAGTACCCATCTCTTCTGGAGCCTCTGTTCCCTGCCTTGGAGGAGATGATGATGTGTAGTGGCCTAGAAAGCAAAATGAGGAGAAGGTGGCCTATGTGCAGTAGTAGTTCAGGAAGTCAGAACGTGGTAGACATGGAGGGCTTTGAGCTGCTGACAAGAGAAATGGGCCACTCTGGGTATAGGGTATAGATGGGATGAGTTGGGTGGAGGACAGACATCTGACTAAACGGGGAAAAGCTTACTGGTATAGCCACTTGCAGATATTCTGCACAATTATGAGCAATGGGGGAGGAAGCCCACAAATATGAACTTACCAATGGAACAGAGTTGGGCATTTTTAGGTCATGAAGCCTTTTATTTTAAACCTACCTCTAGTTTTTTTCATGGGGTTTAAATGAAAGAAAAATGTATTTTAAACATACAAAATGGTGAGTGAAATCAGGAACTATAGAAATGAAATAGATACTAATCATCCCTTTTCAACTGTTCCTATCTAACCTATGATCCAAGTATTTTGTTGATGTTGGTTGATAGCAAAAGGAGCATCTAAACAGGGCTTCTGACATAACTCTGCAGCTTGGTCATCCAGTAGCACCACTGTCTTCAAAGTTTTTGGACAAAGTTCTGGTGCGAAGACCTGGCAACTACTTACCAGGTGGGGATTAGAGGCAATAAAAGCTTGCAACCTCAGTGCTTGCACAAGAGGTCTCCTGGACTGTCTATTTTCCAGAGGATTCCCTGCTAATGAAGCCAGTTGGCTGTTTGCCTAGTGCCATCTGGAGACCGGAAGTGTCACAAGTTTGTTCAGCCTTTTAGATGTTGACTGTGGACTTGCCTACTGACAGGTGGTGACCTTCACTGGGTTGAAGGCAGAAAACTATGGCGTTGGGTTTGACTCCTTCCAGCCTTGTTCAACCCCCTCCCACACC